CCCCCCCCGCCAAAAAAAAATAAGTCTGTCCCTGGGCCTTGTGCAGCTCTGGGCCCCCTGCCCGGCTGATCTGCCATGGGACTGGGGGCCAGTCACTTTACCTCCGGGCCAACTGTTCTGACCTGCACAGTGAGGGGTTGGCAAGATTTCTGAGGCCTTTGGGCCCGGTGCTCAACAGTGTAGTTTGTGCTGGGTGACATACTAGTTCCGAAGGGCGTGGAATTCCTTATTCCTTCCAAGCCATTCAGCGAATTTGGAGAGAAGTTGGAAAGGCCAGGCTTTCTTGCCACTCAGCAGCCCCTGAGCCCCCATACGGGCCCGTGGAGAGTGAGGTGCTGGGGCAGCCCGTCTGCACGGCTGCCAGTGTCTGCCCAGCTGGCCACCCACCGGAGCCTGCCCACGGGCCAGAGCAGCCCAGGACAGCCAAGCAGGGTCCACGTCATGCCGTGTTTCTGTCACGTGTTCATGTGTTGTGAATGCCTCTCAGAGCTGCGTCCAGCCAGGAAGTGTCTCCGATTCACTTCTTAAGCCCAGCTTTGCAGAGGCCTCTCTGAGCTAGGACTCAGCCAGGCCTGGCCAGGCCTTCTGCAGCTGCCCGCCCCCGGCCCCACAGTCAGGTCCACCGGGCTGGGGGGCACTTTGCTCTGGCGTCTCTAGCTCCCTCGGACCTTCTGAACCATGACCAGCACCCCCGGCAGTAATTTGAGCACAGGAGCCTCTGCCCCACTGGGTTCCTGCCCCCGGGACACCCCTCTCCCCCTACCTTACCTGGCACCTGGAGGGTGGGCTTTGAGGAGATCCATTTGGAACTGTGTTTTTGCCACCGTGGCCCACCAGCATCACATCTGGACAAAGCTGTCTTTAAAAGCCAAGCTCTTTGTGTGTGGGGTAGTGTGGTCTTTGTAAGCTTCCACCATGTGTACCAGGCCCAGGGCCGGAAGGTGCAGAAGGTGGTGGTGCATCCCATCAATCTTATCTTCCGATGCTTACAAAACAGATCTCGGATTCAGGTGTGACTTTATGAGCAAGTGAATATGCAGATAGAGGACTGTATCATTGGTTTTGATGAGTATATGAACCTCGTACTAGATGATGCAGAAGAGATTCATTCTAAAACAAAGTCAAGAAAACAGCTGAGTCGGATCACGCTGAAAGGAGATAACATTACCGTGCTCGAAAGTGTCTCCAACTAGAAATGATCAGTGAAGTGAGAAATTGTTGAGAAGGCAATACAGTGTTTTTAGGTGTCCTTTGTTAGAAGTGTAGTTCTAAAGCATTTATTCATATGGTTTTGCTCACCTTTATGTTATTACCAGATAACAATAAATGCTGTGGGATTGTTTTTATTAAAATATTTACCTTGTTTCCTTCTTAAAAGAAAAAAACAAAAAGCCAAGCTTTTTATTCTGAAGGGGGAGAAAACCCACCCCCAGCAATCACCACTGACACTTGTCCCACCCATGGGCTCAGGTACCATTAAACTGTGCTGATTTTAGAGACACTCATTTGGTTTGATTTAATGCTCTATCACCAATGGGCTTTTTTTTTTTTTTTTTACTGATTGTTTTCCATTATAAAGGTTAAGCATTCTCAGTCAAAGAAAATTGGGAAACGTGATTTTTTTTTTGATGGCTTTTAATCATCGGGTACATACACATTTTTTTCGTTGGCTTTCTATTACAAAAGTAATGTAGGTCATAAAAAATGTTCACCATAACAGAGACATATAAACTAAAAAGAAAACAAAAACAAAAACAAAAAACAACAGTCCTTTATGTAACCTTTCCCCCAAACCTTGTTAATGATTTCTACCAAAAAACAGACACGTACACAGGCCCGTGTATATTGCCTGCTTTTGGCAAAGGTGGGATTTACTTAATAGCTCTGCGGTGGTTGTTTTAATTGAAGTGTCACACACGGAGGAGTGTGCACACGCGCTCCGTGTATGAACCTGTGAATCACCGTGAAGCACACACCTGGGAGAAGAAACGAGGCCGGTCCCCCCGAAGCCCCCCTCCCCCCCTTTCCCAGGCGGCCACCATCCTAACTTCTCATCTGTGGTCTGTTTTACATGAACTTGGACCTGGGCTCCGGAACGCGTGCAGGGACACCCGTGTTCCATGTCCATCCACGCTGTCTTATGGCCGCGACATTGGCAGTTTGTTCCTCCAGGTCTTTGGAGCTGAAATCTGAGTCCAAAGTTTGGTCTTCCTCTGTTGCACCCAGAACCGCAGCCGCTGTCCACAGACACACCACCTTCGCACATGTTTCTGTGGGAAGGCCATTTTCTGTCCTGTGTTACTGGATGTGACAGTGACCAGGGACACCGTGTCTGAGCCCTCTTTCACCAGGGAACAGCCAGCCCGGGCAGGGGAGGGGGCGGGGAGGCTGGGGGCTGGCCTCGGGGGTCCCTGCCTGGATGTGATGTTGAAATTTTGTGTTGCTTTAACCGCCTTTACTTTCTGAGCTAGGGGCTGTCTCCATCCATAGCAAAATGTAACTTTGTTGTAGATGAGCGTTAAGCCTCACCCCGGAGAGCGCTAGTAAGTACAGACCAGGTGAACCCAACGCTTCTCTTCTCTGTCGTTTCCCCCGCCC